AATACAATCTCAATCTTTTGGAAAAACTAACATTGTGACTCTCTGAGACCAAAAATAATGGGAGCGAGTTCCATGCCACCACTGCTCTGTAACACGATGTCCTTTGAAGTTGATTAGTTCGACAGACAGGTAACAAGAAACGCCCTTCACTTGATTGACGAGTGGAATAAATATGAACGTCACTGAAGAAAGTCAATCTACCATAAATAATTTCAGGTGCTTTAGAAATAATTATATTTTTTAAGAATTTAATAAGAGAATAATTAATTCTACTTCTTACATGAAGCCATGCTAACTGATTATGCATATCTCTTACACTTGTTCTAAAAGAACAATTTAGAACAAGCCGACATGCTTTGTTTTGTGCAATCTGTAATTTGTTTAAATTGTTCTCTGTAGTTGAAGCCCAAATAATGGAACAATAGTCTAGATGACACAAAACTATTGATTCCACTAAAGTTTTCCGTATAAAAAAAAGGTATACATTTTCTACAATGACGAACTGTGGCCATACTCCTGCCCATTTTATTCAATATTAATTTTATATGAGCGTTCCAGGTCAACCTGCTGTCCACAATCACACCGAGCAATTTGGCCTCCGCCACTTGTTCAATTATCAAACCACCAACTGACAAATTCAAAACGGGGGAATCTTTTAAAAGATGATTAGATCCCAACATCATACATTTACTCTTCCCAACATTAATCTTCAATTTATTTACTCTATTCCACTTTTCAATTAATTGTAATTCATTATTTAATACAGTATTAAGTCTGGTAGAGTCATGATCAGACAAAAAAATAGTTAAGTCATCTGCATACAGAGCAATAGTGGCACGCTTCAAAATAAAAGACAAATCATTAATAAAAATAGAAAACAACAGTGGTCCAAGGCAGCTCCCTTGAGGCACTCCACAACACAAGACCTTTGTATCAGAATAACTACCATTAAACAGTACATTAAACTTCCTATCAGTGAGATAACTATGGATCCACTGAATTGCACACTTTTCAAATCCATAACACCTTAATTTATCTAATAATAGATCATGATCAATTAAATCAAATGCCGCACTAAGATCTAACATTACAGTACCAACTAATTTTCTTTCATCAATTTCTTGCAACCAATCATCCGTCATCTGAACTAAGGCTGTTGTTGTAGAGTGTCCTTTCTTATAAGCATGTTGATAAGGTGAATTCAATTTATTTTTAGAAAAATACAAATTAATTTGATCATAAACTATTTTCTCTGTAATCTTACTCAAAATTGGTAGAATACTTATAGGTCTGCTATTTTTCCCAGAAAAATTTTCCTTTTTATTTTTTGGAAGAGGCACAATTTTGGCTTTTTTCCAGTTATCAGGAAAAACACATTTTTCTAAACTTAAATTAATAATATAACATATAGGCTTAGTTATCACATCAGCAACCATCTTTCATAGTTTGACATCCAATTCATCAACACCAGGAGGTTTATATTTCATTAACTTTAATGTATTTTCTACTGTAATAAGACTTACTCTGTCAAATTTAAATGTACATGATTTATAGAGCATAATTGTATCTTTAATTGTCTTAAAAGAGAAATCAGAGTGTTCCTGTGAGATCATATCTTTTTGTAAATTCTGAACTTTCTTTGTGAAGTAATTTCCTAAAAAATTCGCTATATCAGAAGGTTTAGTCAAAAAAGTGTCACCTACATCTAAAAATGTTGGTACAGATTTATCTCTCCGTCCTGTTAATTGGTTTAATGTATTCCATAATTTATTCCTGTCTAATTTTGCTTCCTCAAATTTATGTTCATAATAGATCCTCTTTTTTGTTCTGTTTAATTTTGTAACAAAATTTCTTAATTGCTTGTACCTTTCCCATATTCCTATATCCCTTGATAAACTTGCCTCTGACTTTAATTGATCTCTTTTCTTCATATATTCTCTAAGTTCGGCATCTAACCATGGAGAAGCAATATTTCTTACTGTCATTCGTCTTAATGGAGCGTGTTTATTAACAATTGGCATTAATAAATCTGTAAAAACCTTCAAAGCCAGTTCAGGATCCACTTCCTCTAATACTTGTGACCAATCTGTATTTCTTATATCAGCACAATAACTGGCCTCATTGAAATGTTTAAACATCCGTTTAATTATTATTTTCTGTCCTGGTTTGATGATTTTGGTTTTTCTGTTAATCGCAATTAAATTATGATCACTAAAACCAACACAAATAGAAATTGCTTTCGAACACAAATTAGTTGCATTAGTAAATAGTAAATCTAAGCATGTTTCTGTTTTTGTCCCATCAGCATTATAAAAAATTCTTGTTGGCTTAGTAACCACTTGTGACAAATTGCAGGTATCTGCTATAGACTGTAACTTATTTTTCAATAAGCAATTATTCGAACTCCAATCAATGTTAGGTCACCCAAAAAATAAATCTCCGTGTCTAAATCACAAACTGAATCCAACATATAACAGATACGATCTAAACAGACTATTGGTGCATTGGGTGGCCTATAGCAGCATCCAACTAAAATAGGCTTTAAGTGTGGCAACTGCACTTCCAACCACAACGCTTCAACCCCAATACAACCAAGGTCAAGTCTAGTCTTTGCTGGTATATGATCCTTAACATAAAAAGCCACTCCTCCTCCATATATATTTCTGTCATATCTATATAATAAATACCCATTTACATGCAAAAGGGAGTCCTCAATAGTTGCATCTACATGCGTCTCAGATATTGCCAAAATATGCAAATTATTATTTTCCAAAGTTCCAGCAATATCCTGCATCTTATTGCGCAAACTACAAATATTCAAATGAGCTATTTTTAACCCTTTATTTGGGAGTATTTTTTCCATCACCATTTTTTATTTTACCCAAATAGTAACTTCTGATTAGACATAAAGAGCCAAGTAAACAAATTAAACAAAAAAGACACACAACACACAAAGACACACACACCCACACAATAATACAAATGCACCCCCATATTGCCAACATTTGTTAACAGGAACTAAGATGTACACCAACTCAGACAGGCCTACTATTACACATTACTTCGATGGCCATGAAATCATATCATAAGTCATAAATCAAATCATACCAGCAATTGACCATACGTGTTCAATCAGTCTTACTTTGCACCACAGGTTCGACCACAGTCTTGTAAAATGTCTCTGCAGCTAAGTGATCAGTAAACTTAATAGTTTCTTCGTTAAAAGTCAAAATCAAAATAGCTGGATGAATGATCCCGTGTTTTACTCCTGCGCTCCACAGCTTGTTCCTGACCTCACGGAAACGTGCCCTGGCCTTCACCGTCTCAGCAGTGAGGTCCGGAAAAATGCGCAGCTTCATCCCACGAATCTCAAACAGCTTTTCTTTCCTAGCTAAACGTAGAATCTCCTCTCTCGTATCCATCCTATGCATCCTCACGATCATTGCACGTTGACCAGATTTAGCCGTAGAACCAACGCGATGGGCATTTTCCAGTTCAGGTGCGCGATGGAGTTTATCCTTAAACAAATCATTGAGTAAAGCGGACACAAAACTTGTTGGATTCCCCTTCTCGATATCTCGAACCAAGCCGAGAATGCGGATATTATATTTCCGACTATGATTCTCCAAACGATCGGCTTTCTCTTTCAAGTCCGTGTTCTCTTTACGCAAGCTTTCGTTTGCACACTCCAGCGCCGTGACCCTGTTCTCCATATGGTCGAGCGCTTCCTCAATAGCAGCAACTTTATTGGAACAATCAACCATGTCTTTTTTAACGGCATCAAGTTGCGGTTGAAGTTTATCAACAGCCGCATTGATTTCTTCCCTTATTATATTTCGAATAAGATCAGACAGCTCCTGCATGTTGAAATCCTTTCCCGCTGCCATATCAATCTCCGACACCTGTTCAACGTGGCCAAGTCCACTTAGCTTAGTTTGCGACCTCGTTTTCTTCTTAGACATATCCCAACTTTCTCATCGGATCACGTCGACCTTTATACTTGACTGACCATCATTATACATCAAAAAGACTTTTTATTACCAGTATTTTCACATATTCGTCTGAGATTGGCGTTCTCCCGATCTGCTCAGCTTTGACGCATGCGCAATAATGTTATAGGCTATATAGAATAGAATATAGGCTACTATTCAGCTTTTTCATCCAGACGTTTCTACTTGTCTGATTGGTAAGTGGCTGCATTTAATTTTTGAGAAAACTATAAGGTGCACATGGTGGCCTTAGCTCTCTTTAAGTTGTGTATCCTTGGGGAGACACCCTGTTGTACGTTTCCTTCAGAGGTGTCTGACCAAGATACTAGGAATATGGCTGCCTCAAAGGTTATGACTTGAATCTAGGTTCCACTCCGGGGTCTAGGGTTCTTGCTTCTTAGTGTGCGCAATGACTTCACACAGAACAGGCATTTGCTATTATGGCGTAGTGGGTAGGTGTTCCCACTGCATCTTGATGCAGCTCGAGTTCCCTTGAAAGGGGACGTCTCCTTGCTATTCTCCCTGCATGCCTGTGATAGACCTGCTTCGGCCTATCAGAAGATAGCGCGGTCTGTTGTCAGGTGTGCTTTATAGTTTCCTAGTCGATGACGTCACCCGCCTATGACGTCTTGTCTCTCCACTGGACTGATTATACATGTGCTTCATGACGCAATCACGCCGGGGCGTTCCCACGGCGTCTCGACGCAGCGTCTCGTTCCCTCTCAGGGAACCAGGGTTACAGTCGTAACCTGGGACGGTTTCAATTTGTTACACCACCCCAAAAATTTTTTGGCACCAGGCGCCACTACTTAAACATGCAAATTAACAATAATACTGGTGTAAAAACCACAAATCAAAGGACTTTTTACTCATTTCACAGCTCAACAACACCAAACAGATACTTTCTGTTTGTGGGATGGATGTTAGTGGTTCATAAATATTAAATATATTTATATATATATATATATATATATATATATATAATATATATATAAATATGTTTGTGGGATGGATGTTAGTGGTTCATAAATATTAAATATATTTATATATATAAATATATAATATATATGAATATATTTTTCATTTATTTTTAAAGTGGAATAAGATTATTCTGTCAAACACTAGTGCCGATGTTCATTTGAAGCAATGCTATCTGCTCTGAGTTTTCTCTCAGAGAGGATCCCACAGCATCTTCTCTGTTTATCTCTCTCTCTCTGTTCTCTGTAAAAGAAGGAAAGAATCACAGATGGTGAAAAGACAGTAATGACTTGATGCTGCAACTACATGTAGTGTGTTAGTGTTTCTAAATTTGCAATACACTGATATAGAGTGTAAAAAACATAGATTTTTATCAATACACTGATAATAAGAATGTGAAAATCAGCGATTTGTTTTTGATCGAAGACAAATTTAATTTAAATGTCAGTCTTGCTTATATGGGCTGTTTATATATGTTTGTTTTCTTTTTAATACTGGTGAATGGATGACTTCTAACTTTAAACTAAACCATTTTTATTTTAGAAATGTTAACTAAACATTACTAGCAGATTGTACTGTATATTTAACTACTGAAACTGGATTTTATTTAGTAGAAAGTTGTGTGCATTTTATAGCATCTTCACAGGGATCTGATCACTGATCAATAACTTGAGCTACTCACCATGAACAGTAACTCGGAATTGCGTATATTTGGTCTCTCTGCTGCTAATGATCTTGAGTTTATAAAGTCCAGAGTCAGTGTTTGTGGTGTTTGTGATGATCAGAGATCCAGTCTGATGGTCCAGCTCCAGTCTGTCTCTGAATCTCCCACCAGCACCATCATATGTAGATGTCCTCTCATTCTCTATATCAGCTTTAGCTATGAGATTGTCTTTGGGGCCGAACATCCACAGTATCAGAGCATCTCTATGTAGTTCGTTGACATCAGTGTTTAGTTTGGCACAATCTCCCTCCAACACTGACACTTTGTTTTCTTCATTTGTTACAACAGCAAGAAGAGAAAGAGAGAAAATGTGTGCAGATTAACATCTCAGGTGCACTGAATGCTTAGGCTAAGTCAGAAAACTTGGAATACATTTAGATGAATTTCATTTTCATTTCTGTCTCCTTATTAAAGCCCTGGTTAAGAGTTTGATGTATTGTCATAATCTTACAATCTGCTAGTGGAATTTACTTGTTTTACTTTCTCATCTCACTGTTTACCAATGTCGGGGAAAGTTACTTTTAAAAGTATTGCATTACAACATTGTGTTACTTCAAAAATAAGTAACTACTTGTGTTAGTTACTTTTTATGAAAGGTAATGCATTACATTACTTTTGTGTTTACTTTTTCTCACCAGGGCTGGGCTTGCTTGTTTGTTTGTTTTTTTAATATAAATTAATATATTTGGCAAAAGTTAAGGCCCTGTCATACCATAAGTGAAATGAATAAGCCTCAGGCAAACCAAACCAAACAAACCTCTCAGCTGCTGATATTCTGGATTAAAGAACAATAGGATACAGGAGAAGGAAGTTCAACACTCTTATTTCTAAATATAATCTAAAGTATTATTAGTATGGTTGAATTAGATCATTGAAGGTTAGCAGCAAAGACGTTGGTTAATAAAGTGAGATTACATACATAAAGTAAATTTGTGTTATTTAATCGTTATTTATAAAAGTTGAGTAAAATTCTGAGATTGCATTTTACAGTATTTAAAGTAAATTGAAGTAACGTGTTAAGGCCTGTTCACACCGGGACGAATTTGGCACACGATATTCGCGGATGTTTAATGCCTCGTGACTAAACAATGGGCGCCAATGGGAAGTGTGCAGACGGACTCGGAAAACGCCACGCATAAAAGCGGCATTTTAAAAAAACAAAATGCCTCGGGTTCGTTTTTTTAGTTTGACGCGCTGCGTCAAAAACTATCCGACCAATGAGATTGTCGCTTTTGCTCACATGCTTGGAGCTTCTGAAGTTACAGTAAAACACAACTTGGAGGCGCTCAAACACAAATCGGTCTTGCCGAGCACACATACGTAACGGAGAAGAAGATATACGCCAAGTAGTGTCACCGTCTACACTAGCTGTGTCTGAAATCGCTCCCTATCCACTATATAGTGCACTGTATCGGGTGTCGGCCATTTTGTAGTGGTGTCCGAATTCTGAGTGAACGACATCATTCCCTACATTCATTCACTACTTTTACCCACAATCCTCTCTGAATTCGAGTGTACATTCGATGTACACTCGCTGAAGCCCTATTTCCCACAATCCAATGCGGAGAGAACTGAGCGCGCATGAAAGTCCGGCGCGAGCAAGTTTAAACCAGAGATTACATTACATCCAGTGGAGGATTTGAAAAATATCCGTTAATCGTCGTTTTGAACATAATAACGGTCGCCGGAGGGCGCTCGACGACACGTCATCTGTGAACGTGAGAGTTGATGTACAATTTCAGTCGATGAAACTACAAAGCTGGCACGGAGGTATAATTACAAAATAAGGTCATTATGATTGTTATTGTTGTTAATATTATTTTATAAAGTAGGTAATGTAAGATAAAAGGAGTTTTATCAGTACGCGTGACAAAGCCTTTTCTGCGACAGCTCCAACTCTCCGATGCACAGTGTAAACGTCAGCGTCCGAATTCACTCACTTCATCTCGTTCACTCCTTGCAGATATAGTGCACTCAAATGCCATACACTATATAGGGATTAGTGAATGAGTGAACGAGTGAGCGGTTTCAGACACAGCTACTGTCAGGAAGAAATAAGACGAGGAAGATGCAAGGCAAGATGAGTAGAGCTGCTGGTCTCGTTGGTGTTAGAACATAAAGAACTATGTGACAAACGTGACTGCGACTACAAACATCTTGATAAAAGAGTTATGGAGTGGAATTGCAGAGCAAATGGGCGCCATCTAATGTCAGGGAATGATTTTGCATGTTTACTCGGCTCATCGTCAACGAAAATCGCTTGGGTGTGAACAAAAACGCGTTTAAAAAAACGCTAACGAATAAAGTGTGCTGATATTCGTCCTGTTGTGTACAGGCCTTTAAATTACTAGTTTATTGAAAAGTAATCTGATCACGTAACTCAAGTTACTTGTACTGAGTTTCCCCCAACACTGATCTTTACTTTTAGTGCATTGTCTTGTGTCCTGGATTCCCAAGTTTCTAACACACTGCGGAAATATGCTGTCACCAGCAAAGTCACACAATACAGAACAATAGCTGTTCAGTTGCAGTTTGTCTTTGAAGGTTAGTTCATTTCAGAGCATCTAAATTGTAGTTCTGTAGATCTAAACAAATCATTTTCACATTAAAAGACATGATATTCTCACCTTCAGCAATAATAGCAAATCTCTTGCATATGTTCCCTGTGTGGCTGATGATCTGCAGTTTATAAACATCAGAATGTGCAATGCTGATGTTCCAGATGGTCAGAGATCCGGTCCGATGATCCAGCTGTAGTCTGTCTCTGAATCTCACATCATTACCATGATAAACTGAGGTCTTACCGGTGGCTCTGTTGATTTTAGCAATGCAAGTGTCATTTTCTCCATGTGTCCACTGTATCTTACTGTCTTCCTCTAGGTCGGTAATATCAGTGTTTAGAGTGACTGAGTCTCCCACTGTCACTTTCAGTGTATCCACTTCATGCCACGGCACCACATGCAATAGAAAAATATAGAAAAAAATATGATCATAAGAGTGTGCAGGTGAACATCCCAGTTCTCTGAATGCTTAATATAAGGGTATTAATATTATAATTTCATTAAAAGACTTAAGCTACTCACACCATACTGTAAGTCTAAACTTCTTATACGAGACTTTATCTCTGCTGCTGATTTGTAGGTGATAATCTCCAGAGTCTGTGATTTTGGTGTTTGTGATACTGAGAGATGCAGTCTGATCATCCATCTGCAGTCTGTCTCTGAATCTCCCATTAGCATTGGTTGTTTGATTAGTGTTTCTATCTCTTTTAGCTATAATGGTGTCTTCAGATGCAAACCTCCAGAGAATCTGATCATCCCTCTGTAGTTCACTAACACCAGTGTCTAGAGTGACGTTTTCTCCCTCTGAGAATCTTAGTGAGTCCACTGTATAAAGAAATGTGAATATGAGAACAAATAAGAGTGAACTGGTGAATACTGAACACAAGACATACGTGCAATGTTAAGCTCTTTCTGCTTTATATGTTTTAATATCATCCTCTGGTGCTCTTACAATTTTACATTTGTTTAAGATTTTTTTGCTTCATCGGAATGGTACGAAACTTGGTAAAGGTTTTGGCACTTGCTATGTGAAAAAAAATCATGGACATGATGATGATTCAAACCAGTTAAATTGTCCTGAAAGAAATAGTCACACTTGTGCTCCCCAAGGTCAAAAATGAGCCCATTGGAAATTAATGGGAGACAAATTTCCTCTAGTGGAAACTGTTGGTACTTCAGCCGGACATCTCCTCACTGAAAGCTCATTTTCTGAGATATCAGGCTCAAATTTTGAACACAACTGGTTTAGATTTATGGCTTTGATTTTCATTACAGTTTTAGAGTAAAACATGTTTTTGAAAATATATATTTCATATAGAAAATAGTATTTTTTTTGTAATCTGCCAAGGGTCATCTTTGAAAAGAGATTAAAAAGAGAGTTTAATAAAAAAGATTGAAAAGGGAGTTCAAGTTGGATATCTAATCTGGAAGGTCTATGCTCAAAAAGTGAATAAATGGATTATAAATTCATATAAGATTGTAAATATAATTCAATACCATAAATCCCTTCAAAAAACTAAATATTAAATAAAAAACATCAATCTAAAATATAGTACATTAAAATCATTGAAATAAAAAGTTTTTATTGAAATAAAATAATTTCTGGGATTTTCACTGGCAGGCAAAGAACAGAGGATTAATAGTTTATATGTTTAATAACACCGACCAGATTCAAACCTTGAATCCCCATGAGCAAACAGTTCATCATGTCAAAAGCCTGCGGACACCACCTGGAACACTGCTCTGACCACATTAAGGTGAATTGTTAATTAAATCTGTGGAAGACCATTATGTGAGGATAAGTGGATGGGAAATGTAGAAAGTGATTTGAGCTGAAAATGTATGGAAGTAAAATAATGTCAAATGTTTTTGAAACAAAAAGCATGTTGAATTGCACCAATTAAAAAAATGCATTGCATTAACCATGCTTGCATTTTAATCCATTGTATTTTTAAGGTTTGCATTTTTATGGGCTGAAATTCAACATGGTTGAATATTTAAGCTGTGAATATTTCATTTAAAAACATTTCAAACACATTTTCATGATTAAAAATTCAATAATCGATATTCAGCTTTCATATTTCACTTCCAAAATTTTCAAAATGTTTAAAAATACAACCTATAATATTCAACAGGCAATTTTCGGTCCATTTTATTTCGCCTTGAAAATTCGCTTCCACAAATTCAGTGGTTCAAATTCGACAGTAAATTCAACGGTGACGTCCAGGAACTGCAGGAAAAGCAATAGATTACCAAGCATACGCTCCATCTGCTGTTAGTCGGCTTTACCAGCAGGGGGTGCAAGCGCGTGTTGAAGCAAAGCAACAGGAGAGGCCTTCACAAAACGTCATTTGCTGAAATGGACAGAGCGATGAGTACGAGTTATAATTTATATGTGTGTGGAAAAGGTTGATTAAGACACAAAACACACGAGCGTTTACTCAAGTGTCTTATAAGACTTATTTTTACCCCCGTGCAAAGTAGGTGGTTTGTCCACTGCAAAACTAAATTCTCTCGCCGTTGACATTGATAGTAAAACAACTGTAATACACTGAGACAGAGTGAATTGTTTGTTTTAGTCACTATGACAGAATACTAAATTGATGGCTGGGTTTTACATGATGGCAAAGGCAATTTTATTTGAATAGCATCATTAAATACAACCAAATTACAATTATAAATTAAATTCAGAAATTATAAATTAAAAATTACATCTCTACCATGATATCTGTTAATCTCTGTGTTATAACGTAAATTGTGTCAGCCATTATCCAGGGCTGCGTACAGTAGGGAATGCGGAGGTACGTCATGCCGTGTTGTATTATGGGACGTGGGCCCCATCTTTACAGGCACGATCTTTGTTTACCTTCGGGATAATAGTGGGTGTTTGGCTAAAACGAGGCAAAATTGAAGAAGAACGGAAGAAATGGGGATGTTTAAAGAAAAAGAGAAGGGACCCTACCGGGATAAACTAAATGCTACTGCCAAAAAAACGTAATTTGGACAAACGATCCGCGATAAACAACGTTGATACATCTGATTTAGTTTTGGTGTTCGAAGCCTAGGCCTATGCTAAGTTGATTACTATTGTACATAAAGTTCAAGCTATTTTACCTGAAAAGCAGCTCTCATAGTTAATGTTAACTTGCTATTTTCAGCCCATATGTTAAGTTTTCATAGGTTGTGCAAGAAAAACATTGTACATTACTTTATAATGCCACAAAATGTTGTAACTTGTTAAATACAACTGTGCCTTATTGACATCATTTAATGATGACGACACGTGTAAAAATGAGGGTATTTGGTAGTTTATTTTAAAATAGTTTGATGTATCTTTGCCCATTTATGTGTACTTAAAGGGTCTTTGCGGATGCAATCAGTACAGAAACAGAGAAGTCATGTTTTTATATAACTGCTTAATAAATACACTAAGTGATCACTTAGTGTATTTATTAAGCAGTTATATAAAAACATGATTCACAAACATTTTTAAAAAGGCATGTAAAGAGATGTACAGAATATCAAAGCAAATTGTTAATTGAAAACAAAATAAATATAATTTGATTCATGTCTCCTAGCTTTATCATCTGCTAAAATGAACCACAAATTCAACTATCCTCCTAACTGTTGAGTCATCGATGAATATACAATACACAACCTCTTGCTTTGTACAACTTTTAACAAACATAGTATGCGGTGGAGGACACTAAGTAAAGTTTTTCCTCATTATTGCGTTTTTCCTCAATATTTCCTCATACCCCACGCAATCCGGCGTCTTCTCCTCAGCTCCTCGACCTGCTTCCCTTATTGTTTATTCCAAGAAAGAAAGGTGGAAAATGTATTCCTTTGTTCAGTTTCCTCCCTGAACGATCGTGTGACATGCTATGGAAGTTGAACTGAACAACCATATCGACGTTTATTAAAATCTCGACAGAAAATCAAAACACAGCCTCCAACAACACATGCATTTAAATACAGCGGTATAGGCTTTATGCGGAGCGTCATGTGACCAAACCGGAAAACAGGTCTCATCGCATCCGCTTGTCATAGAAAGTGTTAACGGCCGTAAGAACTGACTACGATATCTATGGATTTTTAAGGTAATCAGCTAACCTACCTAGTTCACTCTGTTATTGGCGTTTTATTCCATTTAAATATCTAAACGTTACTGTGAAGACGAAAAAATATAAAACGTTTAAATATCAATCTGCATATGTGAGGGACATTGGTTATGATAATCTTTGCTCGCTCCTTTTAAGTTATCTTGAGTAAAACCGCAAAAAAATTCATGAAGCACATATACAAAAGACCTGGACCGGAAGCGATGAGACCTGTTCAAACAGAATGCGGAAGTAAGTTGTGCATAGAGCCTATTGGGCGCGATCCTGTAAATATGGCGGCGGACGCATAATGCAACATGGCGTGACGTCATCTCCACATTCCCTGTAGGGGTATTTGTCATCTTATTTGATATTTTATTTGCTCTTTTTGCCCATTTGGAGCGCGCGTCACGTCACCTATAGCGTCGCGCCTGTCACAAGATCTCAAGACCCTGACCCTCCGATGAGAGCACATAAAGTGCAATCCATTTCTTATTTACCATTTTTTTCATCTTATCGTAAATTTTATTCGCTCCTTTGCCCGTATTGGATCGCGTCTCGTATTTCTTAAGCCTCGGGTCAGCCACAATCTCTCACTGTTTTAATCTACCAGACACTCCGATTGATGCACGAAAACACAAAGACAATGCAATCCTGCTCTTATGTACCCTTTTGCCATCTTATCTTATATTTAATTAGCTTGTTTGTCCCGTAATAGAGCGCGTTTCATGGTGTTGCCTTAAAACAGTGAGAGATCGTGTGGCTGGCCAAACGCTTAATAGCCACGAAACGCGCTCCAATACGGGCAAAGGAGCGAATAAAATATACGATAAGTCACGTTATAACACAGAGATTAACAGATATCAAGGTAGAGATGTAATTTTTAAAATTATAATTGCTGAATTTAATTTATAATTGTAATTGGGTTGCCATCATGTGTAAAACCCAGCCATCAATTTAGTATTCTGTCATAGTGACTAAAACAAACAATTCACTCTGTCTCAGTGTATTACAGTTGTTTTACTATCAATGCCAACGGCCAGAGAATTTAGTTTTGCAGTGGACAAACCACCTACTTTGCACGGGGGTAAAAATAAGTCTTATAAGACACTTGAGTAAACGCTCGTGTGTTTTGTGTCTTAATCAACCTTTTCCACACACATATAAATTATAACTCGTACTCATCGCTCTGTCCATTTCAGCAAATGACGTTTTGTGAAGGCCTCTCCTGTTGTTTTGCTTCAACACGCGCTTGCACCCCCTGCTGGTAAAGCCGACTAACGGCAGATGGAGCGTATGCTCGGTAATCTATTGCTTTTCCTGCAGTTCCTGGACGTCACCGTTGAATTTACTGTCGAATTTGAACCACTGAATTTGTGGAAGCGAATTTTCAAGGCGAAATAAAATGGACCGAAAATTGCCTGTTGAAAATTATAGGTTGTATTTTTAAACAGTTTGAAAATTTTGAAAGTGAAATATGAAAGGTGAATATGGATTATTGAATTTTTAATCATGAAAATGTGTTTGAAATGTTTTTAAATGAAATATTCACAGCTTAAATATTCAACTATGTTGAATTTCAGCCCATAAAAATGCAAGCCTTAAAAATACAATAGATTAAAATGCAAGCATGGTTAATGCAATGCATTTTTTTTTCAATTGGTGCAATTCAACATGCTTTATGTTTCAAAAACATTTGACATTACTTTACTTCCATGAAAATGGTTGACTAAAGTCAGAATTAAAAATCACAAATTGACCCAGTTTTCTTATTGGATGTTGCCTGTCTAATTATGAGCTATTAGGACATGTACAGTAAAAAGTCATAATTCATAATTTAACCAAAATGTAACAACTTGCTCCTTACTTTCTTCATGCTCTGATTCAAAGTTGAAAACACACCTCTTCTCTGCTGATATTAAATATTTAACAGCATATAAATCAAAACTGCTTAATGCTACTGATTGAAATGTCGACCAAGGACAAATTAGGACTGTCAAGCCAGTTTGATTCTTTTCATTTGTGCAGACATCTAGTCATTCTTGAACCTGCTAACTGTCTAGCCACACCCTGGCAACCATTTAGAGGACCCGACCAACCCAAACCCAAAGAGGGATATCTTCTGAACGTCATAGAGTTGGTTCATATCATTCATACTGACAAGCAGCTCTTGGAGTATCATCATCATTGGCAGCTGCCAAGACACTCCCTAGACTCCCCACTTGCCGTTTCATGACTTTGGAAGTAAGCTAACACCCTCAGTGATTGGGCCCTAATAACCTGCAGCAAAAGCAACAAGGCTAGATTTGATAATGCTGTTTATACTGAAAGATTGAGCTACTCACCATAGAGAACAACCTTGAATCTTTTGGATTTGGTCTCTCTGGTGCTGAAGAGCTTCCACTGATAATCTCCTGAGTGTGTGATTTTGACGTCTCTGATGGTGAGATCTCCAGTCTCACTGTTCAGCTGCAGTCGGTCTCTGAATCTCTCGTCATCTCCAAGTGAGGTCTCATTGGTCTTTACAGAAATTTGAGCGATGACATAGCCTCTAGGTCCGAAACTCCAGAGGATTTGATCATATCTCTGTAGATCCGTTATACCAGTGTGTAGAGTGACAGAATCTCCTTCTGTAACTTCTTTTGTCTTCCTTTCATCTATTCACAGCACACAGAGAAGGAAAAGGACATTTTTCAGAAATAAAATGTAACTGTCAGTGATATCAGTAAGCAGACACAAATTAGGGGATAACCCACAAACAAAGTCCGACTGGTAACCCGAACGTGCGGGTTCAATTCTCAGTACCAGGAGGAAATGATTGACTGAGTTCCCCTTGAGCAAAACACCTAACCCGAAATCAACCAAGAACTCCACCGATGTTAATCTGAAAAGCTATAGTTAAATAGCTTGTAAATGCCCAGTTCTCTCAGGCTACATCTACACTAATCTGGATACATTTGAAAACAGCGTTTTCGCTTAAAAAAGGCTCTCCGTCCACGGGTTTTCCAACGTTTCAGTGTGGATGAGAGCCCCATAGATATTTATATTCATAGATATCCACTCTTAGAAGAAAAGGTTCTATATAGAACCTTTAAACTAAAGGTTCTATCAGCGCTACGTATTTGGAACCCCTAAAAGGTTTTATACACAACCCTTTTTAAGGGTTCAATAATAAGAACCCTTTAGCTTTAGGTTCTTTGTAACCAGGAAAAAGGTTCTATATGGAACCTTTTGGGTTCATTCATTATCATTTGTTTTGTCCTTTTCGGATTAAATATTTCATATTATTGACAAACATCAAGACCCTAAAATGTATTTGTGAATGTGCATGTGAATGATCACAAAATTCAAGATATGGGGGTTAGAAAATGTATATATTTATATCATTTTATGAAGTTAATATCACACGAAGAGTGCCATTTCAGTTTTTCTTCTCCAAAAATCAGCATGATTAAAATATGATATTAAGTTACTACAACAGTTTAATAAACAATAATTTAATTACAACTACATAATGTTGCGGAATGATATATGAATGAATAATAGCCTATAAAGAACCTTTGTGCCAAAAGGGTTTTTTTCTTGTCATTATAGAACCTTTTTTTTTTTTTAGCATAAAAGGTTCTTTGGAGTTGAATATAGAACCCTTTGCTTCATAGAACCCCAATGAACCCTTTTTTCTAAGAGTGTTCACTCTCAGTCACCGTATGTTTGGTCTAAAACGCAACTGCTCTGATGTTTTGATGCAGGACAGCAAATGTGAGTACATTCTGTCATCTTTGCAAGACTGTGATATGAAGAGTGTGCAAAGTTTTAGCAACAATGTGAAAGTGAATAGCACATAACAATCACAATAACGGTAAAAACATGAATATTTATTGGTACAAAACAGTATGCGTCACATGACTAAACTTACATCATAATTTTTCAATACCTGCGTTTTGACAGTCAACACTACAAAGCAAAAAAAAAAAAAGTCAAATGTATGAAGAGCGTTTTCAAAAAGCTTAATTTTCATTTATAAAAACGCTGTCTTAGTGTTTCAAACGAATACCTCAATCTCTCAAAAGAGAACACAATAATGGTTTCTTACTCTTATGGTGTTAAATTAATTTCCTTGAAATCTTTTAATGACTTAAATAGATCAAGGAGGAAACTTGACTCTGTACTATTACTTACTCTGTAATTGAGAGTACTTGCGGCAATAGTAACACACGCCAGTGGTTACAGCTGCAGCCACAACTAGCAGCACACAGACACAGAGAGTGGCTAAACCTCCTGAAGAAGGACCCGGCTCAGGAACAGCTAGAGAGAGACAGTCATTAGTGTGAATAAGTCCTGTACGTCTGACCTTACATGAAAACTATAAAATGAGTTAAAGACAATCTCGACAAATTAAGGGTGTGTTCACATGACAACAATGTACTAAAAACAGAAAACAACATTGTCAAAACGATCCCCGTTCACACGGATCTGCAAATATGACTAAAAAAGGCTTATTATGCATGCAAGGCCAGTACTTGGTGATGTCACTTATTCAATAATCACCCTGCGAGCACAAAATATATATGGGTGAACATGTAATAGGAATCCGCACAACGTCACCGCTGTCACAGATTCGTGTTTTTGTAGTTTGCACAGAGACGATAAGCTTTCATTCTCAAGCCCCAAAAATGCCGTTGTCGCATGGGCGTAGATTACGCGGGGGACGTGTCCCCTGCACTTTTTATACAATGTAAATTCGTTTCACAGGAAAAGTGTTTCTGACAAGCTGAGGTTTTCATGGGTGTGTATAACCTACATAGAGATTTAAAATCCAAAGAGATAGTCTATCTACATACGTGACTTTCATGTTTCCATGGTAATCACTCACTCGTGTATTAGTGTACGCCCATGCTCGCACCCGCGCCAAATCCATCAGTTTCATAGAATTTAAAATGGCAAAAAAAACTCCACTCCTTTTTCACGAAAAAGTCAAGCACTGTAAGTTGTCATGTAGTATCCAAATTGTGTTGCACAATGATGAATAACTCCGCCTGTTTCTCTAGTTGAATAATTAACAGGTTTTGTTGTAAATTCACAACCCGAACAAACATGCAATATTTTCAATCTTTTTTTACTCGTAATGCTTTTTATTTTTGCAGATATGTTATCAAAGTTATGGTGGTCCCTGTTCCGGTGGTCCCGAGTCCAAGGATCCGGAGAAGGAGAAGGAAGAAACACAGCCCGTCTGCCCAGTCAGAGAATGGTCACGTCCCGTCTGCCCAGTCAGAGACTGTTCACGTCCCATCTGCCTTCATGGACCTGGACTATATGGAGCGTCTGGCCCGGATCCTGGACATGCCTGTGTCTGCTGTTCCACAGCCGGAAGCAGAGCCAGTGCCGGTTCCAGAGCCGGAGATAGAGCCAGTGCCTGTTCCAGAGCCAGAGGCAGAGCCAGTGCTTGCTCCAGAGCCGGAGCAAGTGTCTGCTGTTCCAGAGCCGGAGCCTGTGCCAGAGCCGGAGCCAGGGCCTGTTCCAGAGCCAGTGTTTGTCTGTTCTTGTGGCTCTTACAGTTTCGCTGTCTGTTCCTGAGCTGGCGTCTGTTCCTGAGCTGGTGTCTGTGCCGGTGTCTGTTCCTGTGCCTGTATCTGTTCCTGAGCCGGTGTCTGTTCCCGAGTCGGTGTCTGGGCCTGAGATGGCATCTCCGCCCTGGTCGCCCGAGGAGCCTTCACCTCCCTGGCCGCCCGCGGGGTCTTAACTGCCCTGGCCAACTGATGGACTCTGTGTTTCGCCCTGGCCGCCCGATGGAATCTCTGTTTTGCCCTGGTCCCCAGTTAAGCCCTCACCCCTTGTTCCTGTCTCCCTTCATGGAACTGGCCCACCATCCCTCCCCCTGATCCTCCACCGTTCCACCTCCCTCCTGAACTCTTGTGTCGTGTTAGCCGCTCCGTAGAGGAGGGGTTTTGTCACAGTGTCTGGTTGTGTTTCCCTTGTTTATCACTAGAGGTCCTCATTCTCACGGAGTCCTTCAGATTTGACTTCATTTCCCAGCATTCTGTCTGTCACTGTCACTCATCTGTTCATTGCACTCAGCTGTTTCCTGTAATCATTGTTCCCAGCTGTTCATTGTTATTCTTGTTAGATCTGTGTATATATTCCCTGTCTGTGTTAGTATGTGTACGGAGTGGTTGTTATGTCACACCACTTCTAAGGTCTGTTCTAGCTTGTTCTTGTTTTGTTTCTCGTGTTTGCTTTTATTATTTGGATTTTGTCCCCTGCCTGGAAGACTATGATTTGGATTACCCTATTAAAAGACTACTGCTAGTGATGGGCAGATCGAGGCTTTGTGAAGCAATGAAACAGTTGAAGCAAATGTGCTATATTGTTTCGAGGCTTCGAATCAATCCGACACCCGTCTCCATGGTGACACCTAGTGGTCCATTGCAGGTGTTGATCTGAAACAACCTTTACAACAATGTGTTTTTTTATTATTGTATTTTTTAAATATATGATGCTTACCTGTAGTCTCTTCACATTGCATAATATTATTATAATAATATATATATATTATGAAAAATTAATATTAATAAAACAAATCAAGCCACAATGTCTCACTTTTTTATAGATTTTTATTTAAAAATTGTAATTTCTCTTCTGTTCTTTATATTAATCTGTCTATATTGTGCACACAGAATGCCTATTCTTAAAGTCTTGTGCTGTTTTATGAAGGCAAAAAGCCATATAATGGTTTCAATTTTAGTTCATTGGCAAAATATAACGCTAGAGACAATAAATATATATATATATATATTATATACACACACACACACACACACATATATATGTATGTATTTATGTATATGTATGGGGGAAAAGGGGTCTTTTCAGTGAAAACAGGCCTATCACGAACAGCTGTAGTGGCGTAGATCGTAGAGCGCGTAGTTCTTGAAAGAGCAATTGATGTGTTCGGCCTCGGGTTCGAGCTTGGCTTTTGCCGAACATGAGATGTAAAAAGTATGAACTAACATTGTCTCTAGCGTTATATTTTGTCAATAAACTAAAATTGAAACCATTATATGGGGTTTTGCCTTCATAAAACAGCACAAGACTTTAAGAATATGCATTCTCTGTGCACTTTGCTCACGCGATCCTTCCCGACCTACCTATCAATCAAACCCTGATTCGGCGGAGCACTCCACCTGATGAAACACTTAGAAGCTTCATTTAGCCTTTGTCACGTGACTGTGGGTGTTTTGAATCACGCTTCGGATCAGTGTTTCGAATCATTTTTGCTTCGGGATCTCGCAAAGCTTCGGAACGTCTGTTCCCATTCAGGGAACTTCGAGCTGCGTGTAAACGCCGTGGGAACGCCTCTGCGTGACGAGTCATGAAGCACGTATGAAATCTGTCCAATGGCGAGACAGAACGTCATAGGCGGGGTGACGTATCGACCAGGAAACTATAAAGCATCCCCGAAACACAAGCGCAACAGCTTCTGAGTCTTCACAAGCGCTCTATGTATGAATTTTGTCTGTCTGTCTAATATTGTATATTTATATATATTGATATGGCGAGCAAACAACAGCAGTATTTCAGAAAGTGTGTTCATCCCTGCCCTCGCTTCATCACGGGTGGGGATACACACGATCTGTGTGTTGTTTGTTTGGGAGTGCAGCATGCTCAGTCGGCTCTCGAGGGGGCCGGCTGTGAGCACTGCGAGTGTCTGCCCATGAAGACACTTCGCTCCCGCCGGGCACTCTTCGAGGAGAGTGGTTCGGTGCGCGCTCCCCGCGGCTCGGGTCCCGCTGCTGCCGAGGCACAGCGAAGGCTTGCGTCGTGGGGATCGCGGATGGATCTATCAGCGGGGATTGAGACGGGCCCCGCCCTTCCTCTGCCCTTACCTGGTAGATCCAGTGCCTCAGTTCTCGCTGCGGGGGTCCGCGTTGCGGTTTCTCCTGCCCGGGCTGAGGCGCCATCACTTCAATTATCCAGTTCTGAGGAGCTGGATGTTGAAAGTGTGGATGCAGAGTCTATGGACTCAGTGGAGATCGGGGACTCGCCATCCCAGTCTCCCGAGGTTTTTGACTCGGGCTGTGGAAAAATTAAGCATTGAATGGCCAGTTGAGAAACAAGAGTCGAGAGAGTAAAATGGATGAGAGATTTTTAAAATCACACTCACTACCTCCATGCCGGTGTTTGCCCTTCTTCCCTGATCTACACACCGAGGTGTGTAGATCGTGGAACAAACCAGTGTCAGCTAGAATTTTGACACACCAGACCTCTATGTATGCTAATATTGCTGGGTCTAGGAGATATGAGTGAGGGGGAGGTCGTCGGCACTGACGTGATTAATGAAAAAAAAAAAAACAGGCAGCGGCGCTCCAGAAATGTCTCCCCCTCCGTACTCATCCTTCGGGGGCTGCTGGGCGAGAGCAGCCCCGCCCGTCGGGTTCCTCGCATAGGGCGCAGCAGAAGAAGAGCGTCGCGTCTCGGGCTCCTCCCCAGCAAAACTGGGCTGAGACGCGGCGTTCTCAGGCGAGGTCTTCCCGGGATAGAACCGATCTGAGGACGGTTATTGTCGCCAGGAAGGCTTCGTCGAAGAAGTCCTGACGCCACTGGTGTCAGGCTACTGAGGGTGGTCCCCACCGTGAGACAGAGGTGTTCGCCGCTGAATCCGGCGCCCGCTCTCTCTCGGTGCCCTCAGGGGTTCGTTCTGCCAACCCTGCCTGTAATGGGGGTGCAGACGGTCCCAGCGAGCGATTTCCCGAGGGACGCTCGTTTGCTCCGAGGAGCGATACAGAACGGTCGTTAAACCCTGCCTGTGCGCGGTCACAGGGCGCTGTTTCTGTTTTTAAAAACTACTCCAGAGGCCAGTCTCGAGAGACTGGTACCCTTAGTAGAATTTCTGGTAGAATGGGGAAGTCTTCCAAATATATCTCGTTGGGTCCCGCAGACTATCGAACGCGGGTACGCGATCCAGTTCAGGTCGCGTCCACCTCGTTTCCGGGGGGTTTTGCCCACAGTGGTGACCCCCGAGCAGGCTCTGGTTATGGAACAAGAAGTGAAAGCTCTGCTACTGAAGGGGGCGATAGAACGAGTTCTTCCTCCCGACAGAGAGCTGGGGTATTACAGCCGGTACTTCATTGTTCCAAAGAAGGATGGGGGGCTGCGTCCGATTTTAGACCTGCGCCTCTTAAATCGGTCAGTAGGGAAGCTCAAGTTCTAAATGCTGACTCTCAAGCAGATCGTGTCACAGATCAGGTCCGAGGACTGGTTTGTCACGATAGACCTAAAAGACGCGTACTTCCATATCTCCATCCTTCCGCAACATCGGAAGTTCCTGAGGTTCGCTTTTGGGGGCGAAGCGTACCAATATCGGGTCCTTCCATTCGGCCTAGCGTTATCTCCTCGAACCTTCACGAAATGCATGGACGCGGCCTTGGCCCGCTGCGTCTCCAGGGCATTCGCATTTTAAATTACATCGATGATTGGTTGATTCTGGCTCAATCGGAGCATCAGGCGATTCGGCATCGAGATGCCGTCCTCGCCCACATCAGAAGGTTGGGGTTGAGACTCAACGCCAAGAAGAGTGTGCTTTCGCCAGTTCAGCGGACCACTTTTCTAGGCGTGGTATGGGATTCGACGACGATGCAGGCACGTCTGTCGCCGGCTTGTATAGCCTCGATTATCTCGACTGTCAAGCAAGTGAAGCTAGGCCAGTCACTCACTGTAAAGGAATTCCAGAGAATTCTGGGTCTGATGGCAGCAGCATCCAACGTGTTACCGTGCGGCCTGCTGTACATGAGACCACTACAGTGGTGGCTCAGGACCAAGGGGTTCTCCCCGAGGGGAAAGCCGCTCCGCAAGATCAAGGTCACGCGACGTGGTCTCCGTGCCCTGGCTATGTGGAAAGAACCTTGGTTCCTGTCCCTGGGACCTGCGCTGGGAGCCCCGTGTCGCCGGGTAACGGTGACGACGGATGCCTCTCTCACGGGCTGGGGAGCGATCATGAGTGGTCGCTCGGCCCGTGGGTTGTGGCAAGACCATCATCTCCGATGGCATATAGATTGTCTAGAGATGATGGCGGTGTTTCAGGCTCTGAAACACTTTCTCCCAGACCTCAGAGATCATCATGTTCTTGTCCGGTCAGACAACATGTTTGTGGTCTCTTACATAAACCACCAGGGGGGTCTGCAGGGACCCGTTCTGCTGAACCTGCCTGTGAGGGTGGGCGCAGACGGTCCTAGCGAGTGGTTTCCCGAGGGAAGCTCGTTTGCTCCGAGGAGCGATACAGAACAGTCGTTAAACCCTGCCTGTGCGCGGTCACAGGGCACTGTTTCTGTCTCTATAATTACTCCAGAGGCCAGTCTCGAGAGACTGGTACCCTTAGTGGAATTTCTGGCAGAATGGGAAAGTCTTCCAAATATATCTCGATGGGTCCTGCAGACTATCGAACGCGGGTACGCGATCCAGTTCAGGTCACGTCCGCCTCGTTTTCGGGGGATTTTGCCTACAGTGGTATCCCCCGAGCAGGCTCTGGTCATGGAACAAGAGGTGAAAGCTCTGTTACTGAAGGGGGCGATAGAACGAGTTCTTCCCCCCGACAGAGAGTTGGGGTATTACAGCCGTTACTTCTTTGTTCCAAAGAAGCTAACGATATACGCCTCCCTCACGGGCTGGGGGCGATCATGAGTGGTCGCTCGGCCCGGGGTCTGTGGACTTTCTCCCAGACCTGAGGGGTCACCATGTTCTTGTCCGGCCAGTCTGCGCTCATGTCCATTATTCAGGCTAGCGCTAGATCCTTCTGTGGGCCCAGGGGAAGCTTCTTTCTTTGGCGATTATATATCCCAGGATATTTAAATCGGGGAGCAGACATCCTGTCGAGGCAGGGGCCAAGGCCCGGGGAGTGGAGACTCCACCCCGAGGTGGTGGAGCTCCTATGGAGTCATTTCGGTCATACCGAGGTAGGCCTATTTGAATCCAGGGACTGAGACACTGCATGCGGTGGTTTCTCTGTATCCACCAGCCCTCTGGGGTTGGATGCGATGGTACAGGAGTGGCCGAGGTCACCCCTGTACGCATTTCCCCCGATTGCTCTGCTCCCAGGAGTTCTGGAGAGGGTTCACCGAGTCGGGGTCTTTCTACTGTTAGTAGCCCCGCGTTGGCCGGCCCGAGTATGGATGCGGGTCGATACTTCACCCCCGCCCAGATCTATGGAGATTCTGGCTTGGCCTCTGAGGGGGCCCAGCTCATAGAATCGGGTCTCTTGACTGAGGTCGTGGAGACCATCCTCCAATCCAGAGCTCCGTCCACGAGGAGATTATATGCCTTGAGGTGGCAATGTTTCACCTCTTGGTGGGGAGAACATCAGTTGGACCCAGTTAACTGCCCGGTGTGGCGGTGCTGGAATTCCTTCAGGAGCATTTCTCCACAGGGTTATCCCACTCCACACTAAAGGTGTATGTGGTGGCCTATCTGCTTACCACGTCCCTTTGAGTGGAGCTTTTCACGGGAGATACCCATTGGTAATTCTTTTTCTTCGTGGTATTGTGAGGTCAGACCAAGAGAAACTAATCTGCTCTGCCCTCTGAGGGCTCTAGATGCTTATGTCCACAGAGCTGCCCTGTGGAGAAAGCCTGAACAGTTATCTGTTTGTTTTGGACCTCCGAAGAAAGGTTGTCCCGCATCTGAGCAGAGGTTGAGTAAGTGAGTGGTCGAGGCCATCTCATTTGCATATGAGTCCGCCGGTCAGCCTTCTCCTTTGGCTGTCTGGGCTCACTCAACCAGGAGTATGGTAGCTCCGCTCCAGGGGCGCAGGTGCTTTCGTCTAAATATGTGCCTGATTTCATACAACGGACACCTGCTCGCATGGCGGCGTTGGTATTAGCGTTCCCACGGCGTTTACACGCAGCTCGAAGTTCCCTGAATGGGAACGTCTCTGGTTACGTATGTAACCCTAGTTCCCTGAAGGGAACGAGACGCTGCGTGTCTATGCCATACTCCCAGCATGCCCGTGAGCGCTTGCTTCAGTCCCATCAGAAGCTGTTGCGCTTGTGTTTCGGGGATGCTTTATAGTTTCCTGGTCGATACGTCACCCCGCCTATGACGTTCCGTCTCGCCATTGGACAGATTTCATACGTGCTTCATGACTCGTCACGCAGAGGCGTTCCCACGGCGTTTACACGCAGCGTCTCGTTCCCTTCAGGGAACTAGGGTTACATACGTAACCAGAGACGTTTCGCGTCAGCCATCCCGACCCTAACTACTGCTTTTGGATCCTGTTTATTTTTTTTTTTTGTCTGATTTGACTGATTGTGGTCATCCAGCTTTATTAGTGCATCCACCGCCCACACTAGAGACCCCGGTTCGAGTAGGACCGGTGACACAAATACACTTGATTGCTTAAGTGTTTATGCCATTGAATGAATGGATATTCTTAATTTACTATATATTTTCCTAGCCATTAAAGTGGGGAAGATTAAACACTTAAAAATGTAACATTGTTTCAAGCTATTTCACACCCACAAAAAAAAAAAAAAAAATCATGCATGCAAACATTATAAATGTTATAATCTTCGCACACATGTTCTAACACATCACCATATAATTTGAACAATTCATTGTTTGTATTAATTAATTACCCAGCATAAAAGAGATGGAACGTAAGAAGGATCGTTAAAATGTAAAAATCTACTCACCAACAAAAACATTGAATCTCTTGAAGAAGGTCTCTTTAGTGTTGGTGATCTGTAGTTGATACACTCCTGTATCTGTGGTTCTGGTGTTTGTGATGGTCAGAGATCCTGTCTGGTCATCCAGCCGTAGTCTGTCATCACTGCATGAGATCTTATGGATTGTTATGTTCATTTCAGCAACTAAAGTGTCTGGAATCAACATTCCAAACATCCAAAGAATGGCATCATGTTTCTCTATTTCACTAATACCAGTATGCAGAGTAACAGATTCTCCCACTTTCTTGTTTGTTATCCCAGCAAAAAACACATCTGGAGAACAAACAGGAACAGTTTTCAGATTTCACAGCTTGACCACTAAAAGTTGTGCATGTGTCACTAGCCGCATTTGCGTTACCCTTTAAATTACGCAAATTAAAATACATCCATTGGAAACACATCAATTTCGCAATTCCTCCCATATATCGCAAAAAAATTGTATGCTCGCATGAGGTGGTTTTTCAGGCAATTTAGAAAAACTACAATGGAATTTTTTTTTTGCGCATTAACAGGTTGTGTTTGATTTGAACAGAAGATGAGGCAGAGTTCTTCATTAAACTCATAAAAGTATCACTGGAATACTTGATTCTAAACAACAAAGAAATGCCAAAGTTTATCAAGAGCTTGAGGGATACTCCACCCAAAAATGGAAATTCTGTCATTTACTCACCCTCAAGATGTTACAACCCTGTATGAGTTTCTTTCTTTGGGACCATTGACTTCCATAGTAGAAAAACAAAAAATACTAAGTCAATGGTGCCAAAGTTCCAATCGTTCTTCAAAACATCTTCCTTTGTGTTCAGCAGAAGAAAGAAACTCATACAGGTTTGCAACAACTTGAGGAATTATTGGGTGGAGTATCCCTTTACGCAAATATGAGGGAGAAACACCCAGAAACTCCTCGAATGTGTTGGTTCCAGTATAAGAGTCTTTCCTCTACATTAGTGCTTGAAAATACACCTACGTCTCCTTCCATTAGAATAATGGCTAGTGTGGTGGCCGCGATAAACCTACCAACATCCATCGGCATGCTTTTTGGAACGATTATCATGAGAGGAAAAAAATTAAGTTTTAGGTGCATAACATGCAATGGAAACACTCATTTCTAAATAGTTATTGTCAACATTTATAATATATCGCAAACAATTTGCTCAATTATGCAATGGAAACATGGCTACTGTAATTGTATGAAAACAACAGACCAAATAAAATGATAAGAGCTGCGCTACTCACCATGGACAGTCACACTGAACATCTTGTATGAGGTCTCAGTGCTGATGATCTTTAGCTGATAATCTCCAGAGTGTTTGGTCCTGATGTCACTGATACTGAGGGACCCAGTCTGAATGTCCAGCTGCAGTCGGTCTCCGAATCTCCCATCTTCGACGTCATAAAATGAAATCCTCTGACTTTTTCCATAGAGTTTAGCGATAATAGAGCTTTGAGCTCCATACATCCACAACATCAGATCAACCTTGTGTATTTCAGTAAGGTAACTGTGTAAAGTAAGAGAATCTCCCTCCAAAACTGACTGTTTCTTTGCATCTGCTGCCTCACCAGACACACCTGCGAACAGGAACAGTTCCTCAACGATTCAACCTTGATAAGGCTGATGTCGTCGATATCATCAGTTCTAACATTCATTCTGTAACTGCAACGGTAACACTTTATAATACTGTTCCTTCATTGATGAATAAACACAGGATCCCATGAGTAAAATAAACATTCTAGTAACTACTATTAACTAACAATAAACTCTGCATAATAAATTAGGGTAACACTTTAAAATAATGGTCCGTAGTTAACAAGTAGCTATGCAGGAAGTAATAGGTAGTACTGCATTAACACCGAACTTAATACTATTAACTAATATGGAAGCAATATTAACTAAGCATTAAGTAATAGGTAATTTAGTACAAAGGTAGTTCCTTGGTAGTTATTTGATTGTTACTAAAGAAATATATCCTCATTGAGAACTACTTGTGAACTAAGAAATAATAACCAATTAATTACTAATCGCAAAAGTAACATGTCTAAAAAGTGAACAGTTGTGGGGGTTTTACTCTTAACGTGGTCATAACATTTCAGAAGCATGTGCCTCAGATGGGTTCTTTGTGGAAACCAGTTTATGAAGTTTATATATCCTCCCAAATACATTAGCTAGGTTGAGATTGTGACCACTACTCTTGCCAGGATGGACGCATGTTCTCTGTTTATTTAAAACTTAAACATAAAATAATCCTAATAAAGACAGTTTTTAAAAAATAAACCTTAAATAATTAGGAAGTGATGCTGACACTCTCATGATTGGATTAGTTCACTATTATGAGCTCTATTGAATGTCAGTCACATATATCTCAGACTCCAAAGACCTATAACTTTATGTTACAGTAGCTGTCTGAGGAGGACTTCTCTTTAGGACATGAATACAAACATTGATGTTCACTTGTCAAAAACAATTTGTATCTTTAATGAAGAAATTGGCTGCATTTATGTTACGATAAGCAGAAAAACCACATCTTCCAGATTACAGTGTTTGTTAGAATATTAGTGCCTCACAGAACCTGTACAGTATGTGTCAAATATAAAATTAAATTACTTGTATCATTTGTGAAAAACATGTTAACTCCTCACTAACTACTTAAGCGTTACCTTGTCATCCCGCAGGAACTACTAGTGATGTGGCCCATTATTTTAAAGTGAAAAACATGTTAACTCCTAACTAACTACAAGCGTTACCTTGTGTAAACATTGCGGGATGACAAGGTAACGCTTGTAGTTAGTTAGGAGTTAACATGTTCCCGCAGGAACTACTAATGATGTGGCCCATTATTTTAAAGTGAAAAACATGTTAACTCCTAACTAACTACAAGCGTTACCTTGTCATCCCGCAATGTTTACACAAGGTAACGCTTGTAGTTAGTTAGGACTTAACATGTTTTTCACTTTAAAATAATGGGCCACTTCACTAGTAGTTCCTGCGGGATGACAAGGTAACGCTTAAGTAGTTATTGAGGAGTTAACATGTTTTTCACAAATGATACAAGTAATTTAATTTTATATTTGACACATACTGTACAGGTTCTGTGAGGCACTAATATTCTAACAAACACTGTAATCTGGAAGATGTGGTTTTGCGCTTATCGTAACATAAATGCAGCCAATTTCTTCATTAAAGATGCTAATTGTTTTTGACAAGTGAACATCAATGTTTATATTCATGTCCTAAAGAGAAGTCCTCCTCAGACAGCTACTGTAACATAAAGTTATAGGTCTTTGGAGTCTGAGATATATGTGACATTCAATAGAGCTCATAATAGTGAACTAATCCAATCATGGGTGTCAGCATCACTTCCTAATTATTTAAGATTTATTTTTAAAAACTGTCATTATTAGTATTATTTTATGTTTAAGTTTTAAATAAACAGAGAACATGCGTCCATCCTGGCAAGAGTAGTGGTCACAATCTCAACCTAGCTAATGTATTTGGGAGGATATATAAACTTCATAAACTGGTTTCCACAAAGAACCCATTTGAGGCACATGCTTCTGAAATGTTATGACCATGTTAAGAGTATAAAACCCCCACAATTGTTCACTTTTTAGACATGTTACTTTTGTGATTAGTAATTAATTGGTTATTATTTCTTAGTTCACAAGTAGTTCTCAATGAGGATATATTCTTTAGTAACAATCAAATACCTACCAAGGAACTACCCTTGTACTAAATTACCTATTACTTAATGCTTAGTTAATATTGCTTCCATATTAGTTAATAGTATTAAGTTCGGTGTTAATGCAGTACTACCTATTACTTCCTGCATAGCTACTTGTTAACTACGGACCATTATTTTAAAGTGTTACCTAAATTAGTACATAATAGTGCTCTGTTGAATGTGGTGGTTCACTATTAAGGCCTCATTATGCTTATGCGTCAACTCCACGGTGTACCTACGTCGTCACTACTACGCAGGCCCGGATTGGCTAATCGGGAGCACCGGGAGAATTCCCGGTGGGCCGGTCTGTTTTATTGGCTAGGAGGGCCGGCGCGCCATTGGGTGAATGTGTTAAATAGGCTCCAGTCACAGCGCAGCCCCACTATTTTTATTATTATTTTCTCGCAGCCCCACAAAAAAGTCAGTTGCTAGAGAAGGAAGGGGAGATTTACAGGTAAAGATAAAGAGACTGAGAGAAGAAGAACGAGAGAAGTACTGTGTCCAGAATGAGAATAACTTTATTACAATGGATTATTTAACACAGATGTAAGGTCACCGCGAGGTTCGGACCTCGGTCATTTTTTTACATTCGAAAATAAAATGTCATGCTCTTTGAATGATTAATTAGGCATGTTTAAACCACCTCACATGAGTGTTTCCAATTCATGTTGCTGTGAGAAGCTAGCGCAGTGAACAGCGCGTTGTGAATGAGAGCGCGAGTGCAGCATCCGTGTAGCCAGATCCACGTAATGGAAATCTCCTGGACCTGTTTTTCTGATTTAACGTGACACTTTAAAAAGTTATTAAAGTGGAAAGTTGCATGTTAGGGTTAGTGATATATTAATCTTATTTCCAAAACACAAGCTATTAACTAATTTCGGATTATTATTATTATTATTTTGTTTTGCTTCTTTTTCGCAGCAATATCTGGCAACACTTTACTGTCAGCGTTAATAAAAAAAAAAAAAGCTTACAGACAAACTGTAATTGCATAAAGCTACCACATTCGGTTAGACAAAAACAATAGTATTATAGATCTGTATGTTACAGAATGAAATTTGCCAAATAACCTTACTGGCCAGCTGAAGAGGCTCATGCTGTTTAGTTAACATTTCACAAAGTCATCATAAATACAATAATTAAAGCAGTGTTTCTCAGCTAGCAATCTATTCAGCCATATTTGTGTTTATTCTGTGTGACTTACAGAAATATAGACTTTGCTAGACCTACTTTTATTCTATATTTCTTTGCACAAAACTCTCCAGAAAGTGCATTTAATGGTTTATCTTTCAAAAAAAAAATCCTGTGGTAGCATACTCGGCTATTGCACTGAATAGAAAATAATATTTTTTGAAAAATACAAAGAATTACAATGCTGTACAGAACAGTGCACTATTGCTTATATACTGAGGTTTTAATTACATTATTTTAATATAGTCAGTCGGGAACTACTGTAAAGTGGGCCGGTCTAAGGCATGAAACTCCAGGGCTGAAAATGAGTCCCAATCCGGCCCTGCTACTACGTAGGGCATTTAACTACGGCGGAGGGGTCGGAGAGGGGTTCGTGTCGACGCAGAGAGGTCTGCGGGGGTACGCCGTCGATTCGACACAGAAGCATAAAACAGGCTTTAGCTAATCAATAAGCACTACTTTTTTCATTCCTGGGAACTACTATACAGGTTCATAATTTATAATATAAGGTAACGGTAACTTAATGAATCAAGTGTTACATATTTCAAAAGGAACTACTAATCCTTAAAGTGTGGGGTTCTTGAAGCACTGACTCCAGCTCAGTCCACTTTTTGTGAATCTCCCCCACAGTTTAGATGGGTTTTGTTTCACATTCCTCTCCATAGTGCGGTCATCCCTATTCCTTGTACACTTTTTTCTAAAACATATTTTCCTTCCCTTCACCTCTCTATTAATGTGCTTGGACACAGAGCTCTGTGAACAGTCAGCCTCTTTAGCAATGACCTTTTGTGTCTTGCCCTCCTTGTGCAAGATGTCAATGGTCGTCTTTTGGACAGCTGTCAACTCGGCAGTGTTTCCCATGATTGTGTAGCCTACAGAACTAGACTGAGAGACCATTTAAAGGCATTTGCAGGTGTTTTGAGTTAAAGAGCTAATGAAGTTAATTGAACCTAACAACTGTTAGGTTCCAATCGTTCTTCAAAATATCTTCCTTTGTGTTCATGAGAAGAAAGAAACTCACAACTTGAGAGTGAGTTAATGATGGCAGAATTTTCATTTTTGGGGAATATCCTTTTAAGTTAAATTTGTATCAGTTTAATGCTGTTTTAATGGTCAAATACCTGTGAGTCCTGTTAAATTGTACTCGAAAACATTCAGCATTTTGCATTAGTTAACAGATTACAAATGGAAATGGATTGCATAAATGTATAGAATTACATCTATTTTTACACTATGGCATTTGTTTTATGTGTTGCCGCCTTTATCATATTCACATTGTTGCTAATAGGGATTCAAATGAGAACATGTTTTTATCCTGTGTAATGATTTTATTGAGTATGATAGAATTGTTGCAAATTTATTTTGGCAAGTTGCAACTAACTGAATGTTAAACATTCAGTGTTCAATTTTACAGTTGCACTGACAGATCTTACAGTCTAGGATTAAGAAACAAAAGGTCTCAGTTCACTCAGTATTACTTGATTTATTCCTATTATTACTATGATTTATGTACAATTAATTGTATTCAGTTGTGTTGTAGGTAACTAACAGTCCAGTACTGTATAGAGTAATGTACTGTACGATTTCCATTACACGAGAGTAGATGTTAAAACTTCATGCTGATTTGTACTCGGCTTTCTCCAAAGTAAGCAAAACTAAGAAGTACCTTTTCAGTAAAGTACTTTTGCAGAAGTACTTTTTCAGTTCTTACTGACCTCTACATTCCTCCTGCTGCTGAGACCTAACCACAATCTTACGCGCCAACCCATTTGACTAAGGCTGTCGAGTCCCACTGGTGCGTTTAATATGCAGTTTCAGTGGCAATGGTTCCTGTATGGCATACCACCTACCGCAAAACACAATATCTGGCCAACCACCGTCATTCAAACAATATACACAGGAACAGAATGACTGTAAATACTATGCAACCTATTCAAACAGACTCTTCAAGAATTCTACGAAACCGTAATGTGGTGGCCTGCACATGCTAGAATCTTTCCGTCTCAACCACAGCCAGTTGCTGCTCCTTTCTGCTGCTTCTTTAGTTCTTTAGTGTGTAATGCAACAATTGACCACTGAATCCGACGTCTCTGAGGAACCGGGTTGTAGAGTGTGCCACAAAACCTCGACAACCCACTTCCACTGGATAAACTTGGACTCTCCATCCTTGCTGTTCTGCTTCAGTGGCCAGATGAGCATACCGCAATTTCTTCCTCTCATATGCTTCATCTACCACATCCTCCCATGGCACAGTTAGCTCTATCAGCTGATCAATGCATGCTGATCCAGACAACAAAACAATATCTAGTTGTAGGTTAGTGGTAGCAATCTCAGGTGGAAAAATAAGCCGTTGATCAAGATCAGCCAGCATCTTCCAGTCCCTAGCAGCTTCCAGTTGTCCTGGGCGAGAATTGGTGTTAACACCTTTTCTTGGTGGTTGCTCGCCTGGGCGGAGGAATATTGTCTTCTGCGTGTAATGTTTTGCAGACGGCAACTTATTGGTCATAATACGCTTGCCCTCCAATGCTAAAGCCAAACATCACAGTACTTGGTCATGGCGCCAAGTAAACCGACCCTGGCTAAGAGTCACCTTACTTGGCTCTTAGCCAGCTTGTTCTGGGAAATGGCCTTACAACGCATCCTCTCCTCCTGCTTTCGCACCTCGTTGACTACCAGCTTCCTCCTTTGAGCTTTTTAGGAGGAGCTAAACTGAGCCCAAACCCTCCTCTTCCCAGCTGTACCTGTCCCACGATATCCCCGATTTGAAGGGCAGCCTTTGCCTCTACTACAGATTTCTTTGCTGACCACTTTCTACCAGTTTTAAACACAGGGCCCTTACACATTTGAAGTATAGAAGTTAGTAATACCAAGATGTGTGTGTAACAGAAAGTGTATTTTTAGGGCCTGTTAGTGGTCACAATTGAAGTTTTTCATTATTCAATACAGTATATGGTGTAACAAATGCAAAATACTGAACTGCAAAACTAACAGTAAAATATCTGATGCAAAAGCAAAAGATGTGAAAAGAATACAAAGAAACTTTACATGGATCTGCGGATGACTTGAATGTGATTTAAGGAAATGCCCCCCTCAGGCAAACCAAATATGGTCCCTGCAGGATGATAGGTGTTTCCAGCCTGGAAAAGGCTGAATGACATGACTATATTCTCTGGAATGATAGTTTTTGAGTGACAGAAATGTTAGCACTGGTCCTTTATCCTTCTTGTGCTCACTCGCCGTGTTTAGACGAGAGGAAGGGAATTTGCATGTCTTCACTTGCGCAGAAAGTGAAAGCAAGATATACTGGAACATTATCAACAAAAGATTTACCACTCACCGTTCAAAAATGCCAGGATCACCGAGAGTAAAACAATGTTCCTCGTTTCGCTGTAGACTTCTGTGAAATCTACTTTAATAAACATGATCTTGCAGTGGAGGAATCAGCTCCTCTACATGAGCCGCACATAAAGTGACAGGGGAAGCTGCAGCTCGGAGTAATGGACGTGTTGAAAGGTTAGGGTGTGTCAAAAGGTGTGTGTGTGTGTGGGGGGTGTGTCAAAATTTTTCATCGGTGAAAGGAGTTTCCTCCTTCCAACTGCGTTGGCCAATCAGCAGTAACCATACTTCTACCTTATTTCCTTTAGCTAAAAAAAATACTTAATATCCTTTACACTGAAAGAAGATTGGGTTGGTGATGCATGTATACGATATCATAATTTGTTGTTTCCTTTGCATTACATCTTTCAGATTTGGTAATTATTTAGTTGTTGTGGACATGTTGCAATGAGACGAAGCAATGACTGCGTTTGCATTGAAGACTTCATAGTCAGCGATTTTTATCGATGTCCGTTTTGTGCAACCAGAGACATAGTCATTTGCAAAGCCACAGACTTTGCATGGTTCATCATGAACGTAAGTATAGAGGGTTTGCACCTACGTCAGGGTTTGTTCTGTTACCTTGGGCTGGCTTCTTAGTCGTGGATTAACAGGATTAACAAAGAAGTTTATCCAGAAACATATTTGTTGAAATAAGGCAGTGTCATCTTATAAACTGCTTGACCCTGATATTATATATTACATAAAAAAAAATTCTAGATAACAATAGACTATCAGTATATTAATTGATAAATTTATTTATGAGTGAGTAAATGAATGACAAATCAGCACAAACTACTATGAGAACATTTTACTGTTATTTTTAAATGAACCTTTTCAATCTTTTTTTATTATGCATCCATGACAAAACAAAAGTCTGATTTGCTAGAAAACCCTTAGGCTTCTACTTTATTAGAGATAAGTGAAGTCAAGTATAGTTGATCTCTTGTATAGTAGGCTAAATTCAGTCTGGTTGTAGGTTTCCTATTTCTGGCCCTTTATATAAATCATCCACACAGAATAGGCAGAGGAAGATTTTTGTTTGGAGAATTGATGGTGTAAAACTGCACAAGTAAAGTTGTAACGGTTACCAGCTGGAGTGTCCTCTTGAGCCACCAGAGGGCACTCCAGATAAGACTATGTTTCACACAAACTACATTTCCCAGAACTCACTGCCCGGACTCATCATCACTGATCACATTCACCTGTACCTCATTCACTGATTGCATTCACCTGTGTCTCATCCTGTTAGTGTGTCTATATATACCTTGTGTTCACGTTCAGTGTTTGCGAAGTCTTGTTTAAGTGTTACACTGCATTTCTGAGCGTTTTCCGTGTTTGTTTTCTGGGTTTTGACGTTGGATTGTTCTTGGATTTTGATTACTGCTGCCTGCCCTGACCTCTGCCTGTTTCCCGGATTCCCACTGTGTATTCTCCATTGTCCTGTCTGCTAATTCTCGACCCTGCCTGTACGACTAATCTTAAATAAAGCTGCATTTGGATCTACATCTCCCAGTCTCGGAGCAGTTCGTAACAGAAGACTTCGCCACACCGAGATCCAGCAGCCATGCCAACAAGAAGCCCAGACGTCCAGATCTTGCGTCTCCGTCAGGAGAATCGGTCCGTCGAGGACTATGTTTCTGAGTTCATTGAACTGGCCCATTTCGCCTCAATGAGCACAGAGTGTTTAATGATCTTTTTCCGAGGAGGACTCTCTGAACCACTCAGTTCACTCATGCCCTTACACAATCGTCACGGGACATTAGAGGACTATATTAACCAGGCCCTTTTGCTAAGCGGTTCCTTGTTTACTGTGGGCGTTGTAGAGAAGGAGCTCCATGAACCCGTGGTATCTACTCAACCAGAGCTTCACGTTATGCCAGAGCTTCATGCCGAGCCCGCGCTCACCGTCAGCCCTGCCGAGCCCGCGCTTACCGTCAGCCCTGCCGAGCCTGCGCTCACCTTCCAGCCAGAGTCTCGTCCCGCCGAGACAGCCCAGCCAGAGTCTCGTCCTGCCGAGACAGCCCAGCCAGAGTCTCGTCCTGCCGAGACAGAGACGCTCCACGTCACTTCTGCCGAGCCAGAGACGCTCCACGTCACTTCTGCCGAGCCAGAGACGCTCCACGTCACTTCTGCCGAGCCAGAGACGCTCCACGTCACTTCTGCCGAGCCAGAGACGCTCCACGTCACTTCTGCCGAGCCAGAGACGCTTCACGTCACTTCTGCCGAGCCAGAGACGCTTCACGTCACTTCTGCCGAGCCAGAGACGCTTCACGTCACTTCTGCCGAGCCAGAGACGCTCCACGTCACTTCTGCCGAGCCAGAGACGCTCCACGTCACTTCTGCCGAGCCAGAGATGCTTCACGTCATTTCTGCCAAGCCAGTGTCTAAAGACAAGATGGCCGCCTCCAAGCCAGTGTCTAAAGACAAGATGGCTGATTCAGAGACTGTTCAAATCACTTCTGCTGATCCAGATTCTGTTCACGTCACCGCCTCCGAGCCAGTGTCTCCGGACAAGATGGCCGCCTCCAAGCCAGTGTCTCCGGACAAGATGGCCGCCTCCAAGCCAGTGTCTCCGGACAAGATGGCCGACCCAGTGTCTCCGGACAAGATGGCCGACCCAGTGTCTCCGGACAAGATGGCCGACCCAGTGTCTCCGGACAAGATGGCCGACCCAGGGTCTCCGGACAAGATGGCCGCCTCCAAGCTAGTGTCTCCGGACAAGATGGCCGATCCAGTGTCTCCGGACAAGATGGCCAATCCAGTGTCTCCGGACAAGATGGCCGATCCAGTGTCTCCGGACAAGATGGCCAATCCAGTGTCTCCGGACAAGATGGCCGATCCAGTGTCTCCGGACAAGATGGCCGATCCAGTGTTTGTTTCTGTGTCTGTGTCTGTCCTTGTGACCATTTCTGTTGTAGTGTCTGTTCCTGAGCCGGTGCCTGGTCCTGAGAGGGCATCACCGCCGTGGCCGCCCGAGGGGTCTTCGTCGCCGTGCCTGCCCGAGGGGTCTTCGCCGCCGTGGCCTCCCGAGGGGTCTTCGCCGGCGTGGCCGCCCGAGGGGTCTCCGCCGCCTTGGCCTCCCTTACAACCTGCTCCGCCCTGGCCGCCCGCACAGCCTGCTCCGCCCTGGCCGCCCGCACAGCCTGCTCCGCCCTGGCCGCCCGCACAGCCTGCTCCGCCCTGGCCGCCCGCACAGCCTGCTCCGCCCTGGCCGCCCGCACAGCCTGCTCCGCCCTGGTCGCCTCCACAGCCTGCTCCGACCTGGTCGCCTCCACAGCCAGCTCCGCCGCAGTCTCCAGGTCCTCTTCCGCTCCACGGGCCTGGCCCTCCATCCCGCCCCCAGGTCCGCCTCCGCTCCACCTCCCTCCTGGACATTTTGAGGAGCGTCTGGAATCCGCTCCTTAAAGGGGGGGCTATGTAACGGTTACCAGCTGGAGTGTCCTCTTGAGCCACCAGAGGGCACTCCAGATAAGACTATGTTTCACACAAACTACATTTCCCAGAACTCACTGCCCGGACTCATCATCACTGATCACATTCACCTGTACCTCATTCACTGATTGCATTCACCTGTGTCTCATCCTGTTAGTGTGTCTATATATACCTTGTGTTCACGTTCAGTGTTTGCGAAGTCTTGTTTAAGTGTTACACTGCATTTCTGAGCGTTTTCCGTGTTTGTTTTCTGGGTTTTGACGTTGGATTGTTCTTGGATTTTGATTACTGCTGCCTGCCCTGACCTTTGCCTGTTTCCCGGATTCCCACTGTGTATTCTCCATTGTCCTGTCTGCTAATTCTCGACCCTGCCTGTACGACTAATCTTAAATAAAGCTGCATTTGGATCTACATCTCCCAGTCTCGGAGCAGTTCGTAACAAAAGTTAAGGTAAGATTTCATAATAAGTAATGGATAAATGTTGGCTACAAATATTGTACATCTTTCTGTTGGCGAATTATTCAGTTGGAGTATTGCATGTTATGTGATATTAGAGTTAATGATAACTCAAATTTTTAGCTTGCAAACACTAGTATGTTAATTCATCCTATGTGATGCATTTTATGAGTTTTCTGTATAAGATGTGCATGTAGTCTACAGTATAGGCCTACTGGTGGCATTTGCATGTACATGAATGTTAAGTTTATGTGTGTTTGCATGAGTACATGTATGTATAAATAGTGCAGAAGGGATTATTACTTGTGTTCGTCTTTTGTTTGCATAAGGATAATACGGAGGATCTTTGGATTCGATTTCTGTTAAGTTTATCTTTAGCTACTCTATATATTTCTCCAATAATAAAGCAAAAGAAAAGAAGAGGAGGTGAAGAGGATGAAGCACAGACAGGCAGCAGGTGCTCTGGAGGAGGACGAACAGCACAGTTCAGGGTGGTGATGAATTATTAAAGCCAAAATGATATTTAGTGTCCATTCAGTAACAACCATATGAACATTCACTGCGTTAACTAGATATTCAGCTTGATGACGAATCTGTAATTTTGGTCAAATACAGTCTATATTTCACTGTGTAGAAAACATACAATCTGCATCAAATTATAATTCGCTGATAGTCACACCATGATCATTTGAAATGCAATAACTTTATAGCACATCACCCATAACCGACGAGCTGTAAGGGAAAATAAAAGTTTACTTGGATTAGCTCACTCCTCATTTCAGAAACAACTTTTACATGAAATACATCTCTTCCCATTTTTCACTTCTTATGGGCCACAAGATAAATATTAAGTAAAGAAATGAAGACATAAAGACATTTATATGTTACCGTTATCAATTCCGTTGAGTAGATTGAGCTCTCATCATCTCTGAGAGAATATAGCTAGGCCTAATGTTAATGCATGTGTCAGATGTTTCTACTTTCTCTTTCTGTAGTGAATAATTGACTGGGGTTTGAGACTTCTTCACCGGCATAACACTTGCTTGTGTGATACCTTAAAATAGAAATATTCACAATATTGTGCAAAAAATTCCTGAGATGATGTGGAAATGATGGACAGAGATTTAGATTTTGCCAGCATCATTTACCTTGATAAAATAGGGAATACACACTTGTTAATTTGTAGACTGTTTCCAATATTGTGTGGACATTTCCTTAAAAATGATAGACAGAGATTTAGATTTT